AATCTGGTGCAGTCATAACTTTGAAGTCGAACATGCAATAGTGTTTCCTATGGAACTGATTCATGTTGCGTAGCACTTGCAAATACATTATGAGAGTGTGCAAAAAGCATTAGTATCATGGACCTGCATCTCCAAGCCTACATTATTTCATAAACATTTGCACCTCGTGGGATCAGCAAGATTTAAATTGTACCCTTCCATGTATTGTGTCTAAGGGAAACATTATGGGGTGGACGAAGTACACTATGTACTTGAGTTAAAAGTATAAATACTTTATGTTCAATATCACTCCGCTAAAAAGGTTTTATAATTGTATTAAAAGTGCCTTAATGAATTACAGTTCTAAAGACATTTTATTATTTTCATAAACTCTTTATATAGTCCTACATTTGTCTATTAAATAGATCATAAGCAAAAACATTGAGTGCCTCCTACCAATAAATCAAGACAGACTCATATACGAATTTACCAATCTAAGCAGTCTGATGTCAATAACAGGGTGTTTGAAGCTTGTGAATAGTGTAAAAAAAAGTATACTTTTGTACATGCACATGGTCCAGTGGTCCAGTCTGATCCAGCAACCCAAGTGGAAGTGAATAGGCATATAGGATAATTAGTTTAGCTAACTAGTTTATGGGTGATGAACAAAGACTTGAAACCCTGAACAATTCTAGAATATTGGCCGCACGCAATTTCCAGGTCTTTAAAAGACTTTGTTAGACCCATTGTTACCATGTATTAAAAACTGCAACGTGTTCCCAATGATGTTTTGAACAGACATCAGAACAGAGCGATTTTTTCAGGCTCTGGGGAGTTTCCTGCCTCTCTCCAACCACACTTGCTTTTAATGAGTCACTGATATTCACAGGACACACTCTGCTCTTCCTAATCAAGTGACTTGCATGGAGGGCCACACCTTTTTCTCCTCACATTCGCAACAAAAATGGCTCATGTTCTGGTGAACTAAAATTAATTTTCAGTTGAATCAATTTTAGAAGAACGTGTGGAATTTACCGTTGGTACAGAATACACAAAGAGGATACGAGAACTGTCATTTTACTTTTAAATATCCTAATGAAATGCCTTCAAAAGGGTTTGATAAATTTCAGATTTTTTTTTTTAAAGGACACTGGAGGGCACTGCTTCGTTAGGATTTCTAATGGATGATCTCACTAGACAAAACATAAACTGTGATTCAGCATAATACGACAAACTGTTTGGAGGCTGGGTTTAGTGTTGGTGTAGAAACAATTGTCGTAGGTAGTGAGACCTCCTGTGGTGTACATCTCTGAGGAACAAAAGGTTCTTTGAACTATATAACAGTTTGAAGAAATTGTTAAGTTTGAAATGGTTGGGGCTTCTTTTAAGATATAGAGAATATAGAATTTGTTGACAGGCAAGTCTAACATGCAAGATTCCTGAATAAAAGTGAAGTGGAGAAGCAGACGATGTAGATGGAAACATTAAAAATAGTCAAAAATGTTTTATCAGGACTTGGCAAAGTGCATGACCTTTTTGGCCTTTTTTAAAGTTCATTACCTATATTTAAGACAGTGGATTTTAGAACAAATTCTTCAGTGGTTACTTAGAGGCCTGCAGACAGATTGTCTTCCAGTGTTGAGATAAGGCATTGAGTTAAAAATGTGTGCAGACAGTGTTACTGTGTTAAAGATCAGAAACTAAACAAAGGGTTAAAGTGTCCTAAATGCTCTTTGGCCTTTGACGTCTTTCTGCAGAAGGGACTATATTAATGAGGGTTCAGCTGCAATTTGCATATATTTGGAGGTTGTTTAGAAGCTAAGAAGTACAGTTTTTTAGTGTTCTGGTTCACATGTCTCATAACAAACTTGCCTAGCTTGTCTGGTAGCAGCATTAATCAACATCAGCAGAACGGCAAAGGCATGCATAACCTGCCCTACTCTACCTCTGATTGGCTTGCACTTGTTGACTGTTAAATTAGTCTTCTAGGTAATTATGGGATTGAAATGAAATAATATATGCTAACAATACAAATGAAAGGGTAAAATAATATTACATATATTAAAGTACAAAAAATGGGAAAATTAACTGTTTTACTAGGTAAAAGGCTAGTGCTAAGTGTGTCGACTTTCTTGGCTTGTTTTTCTAACCAGGTTGCTTACTTGTCTTGCAAGGTCTGGCAACACTGAACAGTTCAGAACATTTACCCCACGCAAAGAGACACTACTTTAATCGCACATTTATTGCTACTAACGCTGGTTCTTTCTATTTATGTAATGCAGTGAGCTTTAAAAAACATGTTTTTAAATGTTGTTTGGAGCTCCCTCTCAGAATAGGGAAGCCATGCTAGTAGTCGAAAGTGAGGTTAAGTGGTTTTATCTGATGAAACGGTATTTCCTCTTAGTTATTTGAACTCTGACAACCCTATGCTATAAATCAGCTGGGGGTCAGCAGTCGGGGGGCACGGGGGGTGGGGGGATG